AGGGGCTCTCCCCCCGCCGTAGGTGTACACTGGGAGCAACCAATCGTGGGTTGTGAACCTGGACAAGTCGAAGTCGCAGACGACCGCTGATGACTGATCCAGCATGGGCGGGCTCTGATCTGCGGGCCGCTCCTCGAAGCTGGGTCGGGGGGCCGCACCTTGGCCGAGGCTCGCCATGGCAGGAAAAAGTACAAACGCTTTCGTTTCTTATGATGCGTTCCTCATGGTAGAACAATGACTGTATGTGCCTGCAGCGCCCTTGCACGCCACCCATGCCCGGATGGTTATGGCCTCCGGCAGCTGCGAGGCCCTAAGTGGTCTCTGAGCGTGCGAACCTAGGCGCGCGCGATTAGCTGTTTTCCAACATTCTACCCCCAGTCGCCGCGCGCAGGGCCGCGACGCCAAAAAGTGTATGCAGCGCCTTACCGCTCGCACAGCGTGGCTCCCCATGGGTGAGCCCTGTGCCCCCCAGTGCCATCAACCGTCTCAAGGGCTCCCAGTGTTGAAAAAGGGCTACCAGGAGGCCCCCCAAGGGGCCCCAAGACGGAAACGAGTTGCCGAGGCTCCCATGATCGAGCTCCCGATGACGGGCAAATTTTCTATGCGAGTGGAGTGCCAAAAAGGCCCCCGAGAGCTCCCAGTGGCTGACAACTTGGTTCGCCAGTGGAGTCGGGTGGAACAACTACTCTACGCGAGTAGGGTGCCGTCAACGTTGCCGAGGGTTTCCGGAGGCGGCAGGCATTGTCACGCGGGCGGAGTATTTTCAAGGCGAGCGTTTTTTTTTGTTCGTTCCTGGGACGGCCTCGGACGACGGAGGAGCGGGGTACTAACACGCCCCGGCGTGCCCATGGCACACGTGAGGATTTTCCCTCCGACTACCCGTTCAAGCCTCCGAAGGTGCACTTCACGACGAAGATCTACCACTGCAACGTCAACTCCAACGGCGCTATCTGCCTCGACATCCTGAAGGACCAGTGGAGCCCCGCGTTGACCATCTCCAAGGTGCCACCGCCGTCGTCGTCGTTGCCGCCGTCTTCAGCGTCGTCCTTGGCAGAATCCTCGCACTTCTGCTTCTTTTTTGACCATATCCTATGTACGGGGTTCTTGCTATTATTGTGACGCCTCCTCCTTCTCCTATGCCTCCTCTCCTTAAGCTCAACACCCAGGCTCACTCATGTCCGGATACACTCATACTCTGACACAAGCGCGCAGAATATGTTTTTACCCTCAGACTCACGCACACTTAAACTCTCTTACGCTCAGACTCGGACTCACTCACACAGACCACTCACTCTCATCTTGTGAGGATGTCTGGAGCGAGGCGCTAGTTTCAGCACCCCAGGGGGGAGCCGCCAGGGGTGGTTGCGCGGCCCCGTTCGCGGCCAGATTGTGGGGACGTCTCGGACGCTTTCCCTGTTTAGTGACCCAGGCTCCTTTGCTTTCAGAGCAAAGGGTGAGGTCATCTCAAGGGAGGCGCTGGATTCAGCACCCCACGAGGGAGCTGCCAGGGGTGTTGCACGGGATCATTCACAGCCAGACTGTGGGGACGTCTCAGGCGGTCTGCCTGTTTGCAGACTCCTCTGCGTTCAGGGCAGATCGCGAGGATGTCTCGCGCGAGGCGAGGCTCTGGTTTCAGCACCCCAAGGGGGGAGCCGCTAGGGGGGTGTTGTGCACGGACCCATTCGCGGCCAGATTGTGGAGATGTCTCACCTGGTTGCCCATTTGGTGGTCCAGAGCCCTTTGCTGTCAGAGGATGGCTCTGGCGTGACGTTGGCTTCAGCACCCCAAGGGCGGAGCCGGCAGGAGGTGTTGCGCACGGGCCCATTTGCAGCCCACTGGGCATTTGGTCCGGAGACGCCGCGTCTTAATAATGTTCTGAGAACCTTTTATGGTTTACACGACATGTTCTTAAAGCATTCCTGGATAGGACTGTCTTGTCTCAACACATCGTGTTTATGTTCCAAGAACACTTTTTGGGTTGTTACAACGTTTGTGGGTTCTAAAAACATTTCGTGGTAGGCCTATGGGAGTGCCGGGACTGCCCGTCTCTGCTCAAGCGGGAGCGGCTCGTCGCTGGGGGGGTGGGGTGGGGGGGGCGTTGTCGTGCGCGCCCACAGGGGCCGCTCCAGGTAGTGCAACGTCGGGCATATCCCTCCGCAGGAGGAGTAGTCAAGAATGGTTACAATCATCGTCTGGGGGCGTAGCAAAAATAGTCGGGGGGCGAAATCTACGATGTTTGTCCATTTGTGATCCTTTTTGGATTCTGTTTCATTGGTCTTCCCACATCCGCCTGCAGGAGGACATGCCCGACGCAAAGGCAGTGGCTTCCGCGCGCGGATCCGGCCCCCCACGCTGTCCCCGGAAGCCGTGCACCCAAAGCCACCCCCCTGCACTGGACCGGGGGGTCCCTCCTCCGTGGAGGCAAGGTCGCAGCTGCCGTCGTCGTCGCCGCAGCCGTCGTTGTCGCGGCTGTTGGCGGCGCCGTTTTCGCCTCCGTGGCCGCCGCCGCCGCCGTCCCAGGTGCTGCTCTCCATCTCGTCGCTCCTCACCGACCCGAACCCGAACGACCCCCTGGTGCCGGAGATCGCGCAGGTGTGCTCGGGAGGATGATGGTGAGGAGCAAGCGGAGGCGGAGGAGCATGGAGGCGGAGGAGGAGGAGGAGGAGAAGTGAAGAGGGAGGAGGGAAGGAGGGAGGAGGGAGGAGAAGGGAGGGCGGGATGGATGAGGGATTCGCAGGTTGCGCATCTGGTTCAATCGCTGGCTGGTCAGGATGAGGACGGCACTCAGCTAGCAGAACGAAGCCGTAGTTGGACCCCAAACAGTGCACACCAGGCGCTGATTGAGGAAAACAATGTTGGTGTGGACACTCGGTACGGGCGCCAATAATAGAGCTGTAAGAGCAGAGCAAATCAACCTCTGCGACGAAGCCGACGGGACGCGTCGTCCCGAAGTGCAGAGACCAGTGCATGATCAAATCCACCCCAGAATTTCATCCTGTTCGCCCAAACCCTTCCTCCTCCACATCAGGCAGCGCAGCCGGCATCGGCAAAAGTCGTCGACAAATGGCTCCAGGCAGGCAGACTGGCGCGAGAGCTCATACAGGATCGACCGCCGTGACGTGGGCACCCGGTCAATCGGGAGGGGGATGGAGGGAAGGAGGAAGGAATGTATGAAACGAGAGGGAGGGACGGGGTTTGGACACAAACCTCACATCTCGGGCTCGTTCCACGCCCTCTTCACGTTGTGAGAGGCGGGCAGTTACGCAGGCAAGGCAGTCCTCGTGCGTGGAGTCATCACAGAAGGGAGCACCACACGGAGGGCAGGCAAAGGGAGCGGGCCATCACCACCGAGGGAGGAAGGACGCAGGCGCGCAGGCAAATATCGAGCGGGGGCGTTGAGCGGCTGGGCTTCAGGATAACCCCGCGGCCGAACAGCGACGAAGTGGCCTGGGCTGAACGGCTGGGTTCAGGGATTCGGGAATGGCGGAACAGCTGGCCGCAAGAGGGGGGAGAACGCGGGGGGGGAGGGCACGCTCACGCGGCGGCGCCGTGGGGGGTGCCGATGAAAGCGAGCATGAGAAACATCAGTCTGCGAAATCGTGCAAGCGAAAGAGAGAGAGAGAGAGAGGGAGGGAGAGATGGAGAGAGAGAGAGAGGGAGAGAGAGAGAGAGAGAGGGAGAGAGGGAGAGAGGGAGAGAGGGAGAGAGAGAGAGAGGGAGAGAGAAGGAGAGATGGAGAGGGAGAGAGATGGAGAGAGAGAGAGAGAGAGAGCAAGCAGACAAAACACAAGACAGAAGGACCGAAGGAGGGGCGCCCCCTCTCCGCCCGCACAGGGCAGGCAGCAGCAGGGGGATAGAGGATTGAGGCGATGGGGAGGAGGCAAGCTGGGTGCGCTCGCGCCTCCTCCTCCTCCTCCTCCGCCTCCTCCTCCTCCTCCGCATCCTCCTCCTCCTCCTTCTCCTCCTCCTCCTCCTCCTCTGCGAGGCGTCATATCTGACGTCCTACACCTCCCTCCCATTGCTCACCATGGCGTAGATCCCCTCCCTACTCGCACAGTCGGATGCCGTAGCATGGCATCGCATCACATGGCACAGCATGGTGTTGGAGTTCATCGCATAGCATGACATAGCATGACGTGGCGACGCCCCAAAGTGTGGGGGGCTTCTGCGGCCCAAAGCATCAACGACTCGACACCGAATGAATGTGTAATCGCTTCCGCTGGTTTTTCGGGAGGCCATTCTCTAGATTTTGGTGCCGATTTAGAAGGACCGAAAACCATGTCGTGGCATGGCGCTGGAAATAATGACGCCAGCGCTGCAGCGGGAGCACCATTCGGGACGAGCGGAAGCGCGGAAATGAGGCCAGCGCTGCAGCGGGAGCACGATTCGGAAAGAGCGGTAGCCCGAAAATGAGGCCAGCGTTGCAGCGAGAGCAGCGTTTTGACGAAAGAACTAGAGCGGAAACGCGGAAGTGAGGACGCGTAACCTGACATAGCATGGCGTGGCGACGCGTAATCCTTTCCGCTGGTGTTTCGGGAGGCCATTCTCTAGATTTTGGTGCCGATTTGGAAGGACCGAAAACCATGTCGTGGCATGGCGCTGGAAATAATGACGCCAGCGCTGCAGCGGGAGCACGATTCGGGACGAGCGGAAGCGCGGAAATGAGGCCAGCGCTGCAGCGAGAGCACGATTCGGAATGAGCAGTAGCCCGAAAATGAGGCCAGCGCTTCAGCGTGAGCAGCATTTTGACAACAAGCCAGAACGGAAACGCGGACATGAGGACGCGTAGCCTGACATAGCATGGCGTGGCGACTGGGACCGGGAATCCTTTGTGTAAAGAACCAGTGCGCGGATGGGGGCCGAGCAATATCCGGACGCCACCAAGGGAGAGAGGAGAATATTTTGTAATTGTAGACGATGGAGGCGGAGGAGGAGGAGGAGAAGGATGAGGAGGAGGGATAATCTAGGCCTCCCAGATGGGTTCGGAGTAGATGGGGCCTGAGGATTGCACCGCATCGCCGATGCATCGCCGAGGCGGCTCGATGTGGAGCCCGATTTTCTCCGCGCTGGCGTCGCCGAAGCACCGCGATTTCGCCGACGCATCGCCGACGCATCGACGATGCATCGGCGATGCATCGGCGATGCGGCGCGATCTCCCGACACCATCTACTCGGACCCCATCTATGAGACCTCTAGAGAAGGAGGGAGGAGCTAGAGGAGGATGCCTCAAAAGCTTCAAAGGCAAACACCGCAACAGATCAACCTCCAATCTTCAACCACTCATGGTGAGGAGAAAAACGCCCTAGCCCCTCCCTCGGAGAGGCGTACCTGAAGGATCGCGCGAAGCACGACCACACCGCCCGCGAGTGGGTCCAGAAGTACGCCACCTGAACGGGCGGCGACCTTCCCCTTCCCCGCCAGTAGTCTTGCGATGGCGCGGCCCGCGAGAGGGTCCAGAGGTGCGCCACCTGAGGAGGCGGCGGCCTTCGCTGCAGCAGTCTTGCGATGCGTAGTGCTATGAATTTGAGATTCGATATCCTAGGTGCTTGCGCTCCTCTCCGCCGACACCGGTGAGTGGGCACTCGTGACGATATCGCGGTTCGCTCGGGCGCTGCGGGAAGGGCAGGGTGGTTGGTGGAGGAGGAGGCGGAAGAACGGCATGACGTGGCGGAAGAGAGAAGCGGTTGGGCAAAAGGAGTGGACAAAAAGGTGCCAGGAAGGGGGGTGTGACGGAGGTAAGATTGGAGATGACATGAGCCTGGGCAGGCCAACGGTGTCTTGCGCGAAGAGATGCATGGGCGGGCTTATCTTCGAATCAGGATCCTTCCCGTGCCATGCGGGCCTCCGTTCGAGTTGCTCTCGTGTGGTGTCAAGAGACTGTGTGTTTCGAGTCGGCCCTCAACATTTCTCAAGTCAAGAAGCGGTGTTGAAGAGCTGGGCATTCTTATTATTCTGGCAGCTGTGCTGCTGTTTTGGTGGCTGTGTCGGAGGTGGTGCTGGTGGAAGTGTTATCGATTGTGCCGATTGCTGTGCCAGTGGTTGCGCTGGTGACTTCGCTGGCGGCTGTGCTGGCGCTGGTGTTGGTGGTTGTGCCAACGGCGTCGCTGGTGGTTGTGGTGATGGTTGCGTTGATGGTTGTATGGGCGACTGTGCTCATGGTTGCGCTGGGGTTTGTGCAACGGCTCTGCTGGGCGCCCTGCGGGGGTTGAGCTCGGTTTTGTGGTAATTGCCAAGGGGTTGTGCGGGGACTTGTGTTGAACAGTGTTGCCGGGGGTTGTGGAAGGGGTTGTGTTGTGCTAGCGATTGTGCTTGCAGTTAGGCTGAGTATTGTGTTGGCGGTTATGACTGGTTTCGCTGGGGTTTGTACTGCGGGTTCTCCTGGGTGGCTGTGCTCCGGCCTTGTGCTGTGGGGTTGTGCCGCTGGAAGGTGTGTTGGTGGATTGTACCAGGAAGTTGTGCTGGGCGGTTGTGTCAGCTGGTTGTGATGGGGTTGCGCCAGGTTTTATTGCAGGATTTCGCTAGGTTGTGCTGGGGGTTGTGTTGCGGGGTTGTTTTGGGAGTTGTTCTGGGGATGGTGCTGGGGGGTTGTTGTGCTACAGGGGATCCAGAGAAACACGGCACATCCTCTGCCGCGCACCCAGTCAATTCGTATGTGTTTGTTTACATCATTGTTGTGTGTCCATATCTCTGAATCGCCGATTCGACGATACCGCCCCCCCCCCACACAACCCTAAGCACAACCCCCGCACAACCTCCCCAGCGAAACCCCGAGCACAACCCAAAGCACAGCCGCCTGAACAACCCCCAGGCACAATCTCCCCAGCTCAAGTCTTCTAGCACAACCGCCTTTCACACACACAGCATGATCACTGCGGCACACCCCTCCAGCACAACTTCCTGGCACAACCGTCAGCGCAACCCCCAGCACAACCACCGCGGCACAACCCCCCAGCACAACTCCCCAGCACAAACACCCAGCGCAGATACTTCAAGACAATCTTCCATCGCAACCCACTGGCACAATCGCCAAGCATAAGACTCGCAGCACCATCCCCCAGCACAACCTCCGGCAACCTCTGGCATGACCACCGCGAGCCCGAGCACAACCCTCAGCACAATCACCTAGCACGAGCCTACAGCGCAACCCCCAGCGCATTCCCCAGCACACAACCCCCAGCGTAACCCCCCGGCGCAACCCCCCAGCACAACCCAGAGCCCATCGCATGCAACCTCTCCAGCACGACTCCCAGCACAACCCCGCAGCACAACCCCGCAGCACAACCCTCACCAGAACCCACCAGCACGACCCCAGAGCACAATCCCCAGCACAACCCCTCAGCACAGCCAGCACAACCCCACACCACAGCACAACCCCACAGCACAACCCCCCAGCACAAGCCTCAAGCACAACGTCCTGGCACAAACTCCAGCACAAGCCTCTGTCACATTTCCCAGCACAGCCTCCAGCAAATACATGTATATATTTATGCATTTGCACTTGTAACTAAACATACATATCTATACACACGCGGCACAAACTTTGGCACAACCACCCAGAACGAAGCCCACGGCACAGCCTTGAGCTCATCCTCCCAGCAAAACCATCCGGCACCACCACCCAGCACAGACCCCCGAGCGCAACCCGAACAGCACGAGCACCAGAACGATCACCCGCTGAAATCGTGAGCACAGCCACCAGCGACTTCAAGAGCAACCACCCGCACAGCTGCCAGCACATCCTCTAGCACGACCACCAGCACAGCCGCCAGCACGCCCACCAGCACCTTTTTCAGAAAATTCCGCTGACAACCTGGTCCTCGCACGCGGAAGAATAAATCCACCGAAGTCTGATATCGATATCTCAGCCAGAGTCATACTGACAGAAGTTTGGAGGGCCTCCACGTGCGTGTGGCTGATCTTTCGGAAGCCATGTGTGGACCATCTTGGCCATTGTTGGGGTCAAAACGGGGCTCTCTTGGAGCCTTTCTGGGCATCTGAACCCTCGTGGGCCTTTCTTGTGGACCTCTTAGACTATTCGCTGATTTGGGGCCCTGCTGGCCCTGGTGGGAGCCTCCTGAAGGAATGTCGGCCTCTTGGGGCCGATTGACGCCCTGTTGGGATCCTCTTTGGCCCCTGCTGGAATTCCTTGGGGTTCTCTTGGGCCGTGTTGGGGCCGTCGTTGTGCTTCACAGACTCGTTGGACGGAGCAGCGCAGACAATGCCAGACTCATTGAATAAAAGCCAGGGTTTCAAGCTGTTTGTCTCCCGGGGGCATCCCTTGGGAGGAGTCATCTTGAAGACAACCTGGATCATCATTATAGGGTCATGTAGGCCCAACTTCGGCCACGTTGGGACGTCTTGGAAATTGTCTTGGGTCTCGGGTTATTCTGAGCCGCGCTGAAGTAATCGTTTGCGAGGATGCAGAAAGCTGTGTTTGTGAGCTCGTACCCCCGCCCCCTCCCGCCGCTTCAAACGGGTTTTCCCCTAGGGGGGTAGAACAGGGGCATGGGACAGCCAAACATTGCATACGCACTGCCCCCCAAGGCAAGCCGGGGTCGCCAGAGTGCATACCAAGGGAGATGCGGCATGTTCTTCCCCCTTCTCTCCCACCCAGCCTCCCGCTTTTCCAACCCATCCCGCGCGGAGGCGCCACCGCCCAGCCCCTCGTAGGGCCGTCCCGCGTCTGGGACGAGTAGGCGCCCTGACCCTGTCCCTGTCCCCCCTCCCTCCTCCAAACTTCCTCCTCCCTCATTCTCCATCCCTCAGTCATCCTCTCTCCTCCCTCGTCCCCCCGTCTCTCTCCCTCCCTCCCCCCATTCGCCCTTCATTCTTCCCCTATCGCCCTTCCGCCCTCGCGGGGCATTCCCAACGAAAGCGAGCCAGCTACACGAGAATCAGCGGATTGCCTGTAGGGTGCGTGCTCTGCGCGTTGCGCGGGTTGCGCAGGAGGAGAGCACCGCACCCTGCCCCGCATCTCCTCCTCGTCCCCGGAGGCTTTTCTCGCTCACGCTCCTGCCCTCCTGAGGGATCGGGCTTGGCCTGCCCTCCCTCCTGAGGGATGCGTTCCTGCTCCTGCCCTCCTGCAGAGGTGGTAAAAGGAACAAACCAAAGCATGCATGAACTCGTTCATGCTCCTGCCCTCCTGCCCTCCCTCCTGAGAGATCGGGCCTTTGACACGTTACCAGCCTAAAACAGGTCCTTATCTCGTGATTGGCATCATCATAGCCCGATGCCGATCCCGAGGGTTGCCTGAGTTTCTGAGGGCGCATCCACAAGATTGCCGTCAGCTCCGGGCCTGAGAGCTAGGGATGAGCTCGAGGCTGGCTGCACATGGGTGCAGCCTACCGGGTGCTACCAGAGGGGATTGCCGCCTCTGGCAATACACGCTGTGCACAGGTATGCGCTCAGACAGACGAGCAGTACAGCGTGATGCCCCGGCTCGTCGCGGGTGCATGCTATCCACCGGCTCTCCAGCCCGTGCGTCCCCCCCTCCTCCGGGAGGTCCGTACGTGCAAAGGCGCATCCTTGCAGGGCGGTGGCAGCTGGCCCGCCTCTTTTTCCTCCTCCTCCTCCTCCTCCTCCTCCTCCTCCTCCTCCTCCTCCTCCTCTTCCTCCTCAGCCGTGTCGGCCCAGGCGATCTGGGCCTGCCCGAGTGTGCTTCGACGTGGCTCGCTCGGGCGGGCCACGGATGGCGGGAAAGCATCCTTCTTGGCCGTGTGGGACTTGTGCGGGGGTGTATGGCACTGCGACCACTGCCTGCGCTGCGGCAAGCAGGCTCCGCAGGGAGTGCTTGAGAAGCAGAGAAAAAACAGTTTGGAGCTGGTGGTGTGCAGAAAGTTCCGTGGCACAACAAGAACAGGCGGAAGGACGGCCCGCCAGCTTCTACGTGGACTACGCCGAGATGAGTCAAAGCCGCCACCAGCGCCAGCTCCAGTCGATCAGGCAGTGGCGGACAAGCCTGCCGAGAACCAGCCCGTGGACATCACCAAGCTCAGTTCGTTCCAGTTGGGGCAGCGCCTCGGGGGCACCAAGAAGAGCATCAGCAAATCATAAGAGCGGTTTAAGGAGCGCAAGGAGGAGTACCAGCGTGCTCTGGACAGTCGTGATGCCGACAAGCAGATTTTGAACAACCACAAGCTTTAGAAGCAAGAGCTCGAGAAGGCAAAGAGCGAGGCCTTCCTCCGAGAGCAAGTCAGCGGAGCGGAAAATCCAGCACTGCAGTTCTTCGGGAAGGTCGTGGGGGTCCAGCAGGCAGCGGGAGGCAGCGAGGTCCCAGAGTGTCGTCGCGCCCCGTTGCAAGCCCTGCAGCAGGCGATCGAGTTGCACAACCAGCAGCACAAACAACAAGAGGCAGAGGCTGAGCGTGCGAAAGCTCAGCAGCAGCGTGATGCTCGTGCTGATGGCGATGGCGCTGGCGATGTGCCCATGGCTCAACTTGACGAGGCCCCAGTCCTCGACGACGAGGACTTGGAACATATCTTCGCCGAACATGGCCTTGAGCTCGACGGGGGCATGGAGGAGGAAGAGGTCAAGCGCATCACTGAGGCCAGGAAGAGGCTGCGTCACCAGTTTGCAGCAGCAGCAGAAAGAGCAAAGCGGAGAAAGGTGCGGGCCCCAGTTGCTTCAGGGGGGGGGGGGGGGGGGGGGGGGGGGGAGGGCCCAGCCTCGGGCTCTTGCCTTCGTGAGCAGCTGGGGCCAAGTTAAGCAGATAGTGGGCGACTCCAAGTCCACGTTACAGCAAGTGGGTTCGCTTGATAATGCATCGCCAGCAGGGCTTTTCCAGGCCGTCCAGCTCATGTATTGCATCGACAGCTTAGGATAAGCTCTGGTTGGTTGGCGCGACACGGCGACGGCGACTTCGGCGACCACAGCTGTGCGCGCGGCCAGTGAAGTACCTGCTGGAGCGTCATCAGCGGTGCCCGTGGGCCCTCCGAGTGCCACGGGCCCTCGAGCCGCCGTCGGCCCAGCCGCGGGCCGCGGAGCCGCTGTCGGCGCTCGGCTGGGGGCCGTGCCGCTGCAAGTAAAGGCGCAGCGTGGGCGGCGCGCTGGCCTGGGCGGGGCACGGGGCAGCTCTGGGGGCACCCGTCGACCCCGCCCCCGAGCCAGGGGCAACCGCGCGACCACTCCATGGAGGTGGACCAGCAAGGTACTGATGGGTATCTTGGGGATCTTTCGAAAGCGGCGCCGACGGCTTCTCAGCATTCAATCCCTGCTGTGAACGCATCGTCGGCGCCAGGGAGTAAAGTGCCAAGGGTTTGCCGAAGGTGCGGCGCGAGTCTTCTTGCTCCGACTCGGCCAGGTGACGCGGAGACCACGAAGGTCAGAATTTGGAGCATAGCGACGGCAAACATCTCTTCTGCTCAGAAGGAGGCGACAACGTTATCGACAATTGCGAATGAGATGGTCGAGCTGGAGGTCGAGGCCGACGCGCTGCTTGTCCAAGAGCACAAGCTGCTCAAACCGGCGGTCGGGGACGAGATTGCCAGGCTCAGGCATCAAGGTTGGCGCTTCCACATTGCGCCAGCCAATGAGGGGGGTGCCCGGCGCGCAGCCTCATAAGGGGTTTGCAGCTGGGTTTCGGCAAAACATCGGCTCTGCTGATCCGCCAGACTTTGGCGAAGTTGCACCGCCGCGTTCGAGGTGGACAACAACGGGTTCATGGCATGCCCCCTGGAGGCTTCATACTAGCCTCGGTCTACGTCATCTCAGGCAACCACCACAACGATGTGGAGGACAGAAATCGGCAGATTATTTTGCCGTGCTTCGAGCAGCCCAAGCGACTTTGGCGACCTTTCATATTGGAGACGATTGGAATCTGAGCCCGCTTGACTTGGAGCAGGTGAACGTCTTGAGCGACACACCTGCAATTATAGCAGCTCCCCCTGGGTGGACGCGCTCAGCAGGACGGGGGCGCACGATTGATTTCTTTGTGGCATCAACGCATTTCAAGGGCCTGATCACTGGAGTTCGAAGGTAGGAAGGACTCAGCATGGCGACGCACTGGGGCGGTCTTCTGGAGCCCGACACAGGACCTGGCGCAGGGGTGGAGCAGCAGATCGTCGCGCCGAAGAAGTTCACCAAGGAATGCCCTCCTCTGTGCACCGATGGGCGCCACCTTCGTGCACTCGAGGGCGCAGCGAGTGCGAGCATGCGCGAAGTCCCCAATATGTTGACAAGTATTTCACATCATGGATGAAGCTGGCCGAGCAAGAGCTGGCTGACAGGTACCATATTGAGGACCACAAGCGACGGGCCACAGCTGGCCGCGGAGGGCTATTTGACCCACAGTTTAAGATGGTAGTCTCGGCAAGGAAAGCACCAGGCCGACGAGCTAAAGGGGATCAAATCTCGAGAAGTTGGAGAAGGGCACCCGTGGCCATCCAGGACATTATTCACGCGTTCGAGAGAGATTTGGATTTAGACTTACAACTTGCCACGCAGCGCATGCGCACGCTTGAGAGCTTACAGATGAAGAATCTCAACATGATGATTTCTTGGTATGTCTTCTGGTACGGACTCGACCACGAGTGGCGTTGGGGAGATGATTGGCTTCGCGGCTGCAGCTGGTTTGCGGCGCAAGAGGCCGCCAAGCTTGAGCAGCAATACTCTAAGCAGCGCGTTCGTGAGCGGCGACGGGCAGTGAGAAAGCCCATGGGGCAGGAGGGCGCGAAGTCATATGAATGGAGCAAGTGACCAACGAGGTGGACGAGGCGGACCTTCTGCAATGGCTCCAGGTTTGGAATCATGATCCGGGTGCGGATTCGTTCGGCGCAGGGCTTCGCATGCCGGAAGCGGAGGACGAAGGGCAGATGGAACCATTCGACGCAGAGCAGCTCAGAAAAGCAGCGTTATCCCCCATGCTAAAGAAGGCCACGTGCAACGACAACCTGGGGCCCAGGAACATGGCGCCGCTCTCAGATGACTGCATCAACGCGTTCGGCGGTGCGATGGAGGCGGCAGAGAGGATCATCGAAGTGCCCGCCCAGATGACAAACGCGGTCTTGCCGCGCCTCCCAAACCCTGAAGGGGGGCGCAGATTGATCGGATTGATGACGGACGCGCTCAGAGTGCACAATCGCCGCCGACGGCATGTACCGCATGGTTGGCTTCAAGAGCATTCGCGACCTTATCGCTATGCTAGGGCTGACAGCAATTCTGAGAGGACAGCTTGGACTCAGTCTATTTTGGCGGAGGCAGGCAGAGCACTCGTGAGGCGCTCGGTCACAGTGAGGCTGGATGTGAAGAAAGCCTTTAAGGGGATCGCACATGATACTCTGTGGGCGATAGGTTGCTGACGCAAGCTCCCCGCGCGAAGGCCTGCCATGCCCATCGAGACACGCGCAGGAAGAAGGAGCCTCGAGTTCGGCAAGATAGCCCCCAGGTTCACTCGCACAAACCAAAGGGTCATTGCAGGTTGCTCGGATGCTACTACCATGATGATCCTGTTCACGTGGGGGGCGTGCGACCAGGTCTACACGTTGTGGCCCTCTCTCACGATCAGTGCAGTCGTGGACGACAGTAGCTTGCAGACATCCTGCGTGGAAAAAGACGCAGTTCGGATCATCATTGCGGCGGTCAAGCTGCTGCGCAGGCCCCTGCTGAAGCTAGGCTTAGATCTGAGCCCGGACAAAGGACATGTCATCGCTGCGACACCGAGAAAGGCAGTGGAATATGAAATGGCGTTGAGTAGTTGGGTCTTCCGGCGAGCAAGAGTCGCCCGGCAACTTCGGCATGATCGACGAATTAGAGGAGGTACTGGGATACCCACTCATCGTAGTCGAGTTGCAGCTGTTGGGCGCAGAGTGGCACTCTTTCGAAGGTTGGCCCGAGGTGGCAGGCAGATGGGTGAGCTCTTTCGCTCTGGCGGTCTTGCGTCGGTCGGCTACGCAGCCGAGGTGCAGGGCATGGGCGACACCCAGTTGCAAAAGGTCAGGGCTCTAGCTGGTCATGCTTTTTTGGGTCGGCGAGGGGGGCAGTAGAACTGCGGAGTTTCTTCTTTCGCACTCTCCCAGGGCAGAGCCCACCTTCATTGCGGACGAGTGCCCGTCGGTGCATTGGCGCGAAGTGGGGGTAGTGGGTCCAGCCCAAGGCGATGGCGCTAGCTTTCATGCGCGCGCAGAATCGCGCACGTTCGCGGCAGTCTTTGCAGGGACCAGCGGGGGCAGTACTCATGCCTCTTGGACGCATGCGATGGCGAGCTGAGAGGTGGAATCTTTGGTTCACGGAGCGCGGCTCGCGAGTGGATGTGGACTCTATTGGGACCGGCGCGCTTGAGAGGCTGATCAACATATCCACCAAAAAGCGGCTCCTGGAGGCAGTTCCAGGCCGTCGCGGAATGGAAGGGCTCACGGGGCCACCCATTCTAGAGCCAGCTTTGACAGAGATAGCAGAATTACGACGGCAGGGAAATTTCAAGGGCGCAGGTCCTCTTCACACGTGGCTGGCTGGTGGTTCCTTCGGCCAAGTGAGACTGCATGCGGGGGGGCGGAGACGCCAACCTGCGCAGCTTGTGCGGCAGAAGTTACGGATTTGCATCGATGCTGCCGTTGTGATTGGCGCCTCGCTGAACGACAAGACTGGGGCGGGCACGAGAGAAAGCTAACGCAGTGGGGGCGCGCTGAACGTGGGCGAGATCCCCCGTGCAAGATGATGTTTTGCAAAGGACTCTTTCCATATCCGCTCTTCCAGTTACCCGGCGTTGTGGAGCATCGCACCATCCGATGGCATGCGTGCACAGTCTCTGGTTTTATCAGTGGAGATGTACGCATAGACGGCAGCTGTATCTTTCCGCGCTGTGAGATGAGAGCTCGCGGCGGTTGGGCTTTCTGTATGGTCGATGCAGTTGGTGTGTCATAGCGGCAGCTTCTGGAACTGTCCCTCGTCCGTGGCAGACCTCAGGAGCAGCGGAGTTATACGCGGCAAGGCAAGCAGTTCTTCGCAAGTCACAACGACGGCCTTGCCTCATCACGGATTTTAAGGAGCTCCACCTCGGCTGGCAAGCAGGTTTCCCTTATGGCTCTCGTTCAGATCACCAGCATGCTGAGCTTTGGCTGCAATTCTGGAAAGCAGTCGAGGACATCGGGGCTGAAGAGTAGGCATTGAATGGATTCATTCGCATTTGTCCCAGACGCGCGCGATCGAGCTGCAGATTCCCCTGGCCTACTGGCACGGCAACAAGCAGGTGGACTTCTACGCCAAAAGTGGAGCCGCCATGCACCAACGAGATTTGCCTCAAGAGCGTGCTCGACAGATGCGCGAGCATGCGGCGGCGTTGACACTGAAAGCTGCGCTGCGCATTTTTCGCCGACGCTCAAGAGGAAAAAGGGCTGATGCTGCAAAGAAGGAGTATGTGAAGAAGCAGATTGGCCTCACTCTGAGTGGCGACAACGGCCATGTACTGCATAGGTTCAAGGGAAGATGGACTTGCGCGAGGTGCGGAGAGAACCGTGCTCGAAGCTGTGACCTCGTGAACTTGAGCTGCGGAGGACCCCCCAAGGGGATCTAAGCGGCTCATGAACCGCACCGACTTTAGAAGACGGGCCCCATGGTTTGGTGTGTAGATTGTGCTGCGCGCTGTGCCAGTAGAGCGTACATGATAGCCAGACCTTGTTTGGGCAGACCTCCCCTGGGTTCTCCGAGGCACTTTGAGAGGAAGTGCCTTATCCAGGGGAAGGGCCCGTCGAGCGAAAAGGTTGGACATGGGTTTCACAAGCCCGTGCCTATCACCTCACGCAGCTGGTTTTCGAATTGGCGTTCATGGTTTATCGCGTTTTTGGCTTGGTGCCTCGTTCTCGGAGCCCCTCGTCGTCATCGGAACCCTCGGAACCCTCCTCCTCCTCCTCCTCCTCCTCCTCCTCCTCCTCCTCCTCCTCCTCCTCCTCCTCCTCCTCCTCCTTCCCTAGGCCCTTCGGGGTGGAGGCGCTCGCGGCGGGGCGGTCACAGCCCCGCGGGGCTTTCACGTGCTTCGACACTCCGGTCGGCCATCCGTTCCCTTCACGGGCAACGATGGGGGACGGGGGGGAAGGGCATGGGAGGGGATGCACCGACCCCCAAGCGCACAGCCCAGAAACGTGCGGATTTGCCGTCGGGGGCCCATCGCCGATCTATCGGCGATGTATCGCCGATGCTGGGCCGATGTTCCCCCTCCCTATCGTCGCCCCTTTCCCCTCCGTCTCCCTCTCTTTCGTCCCCTTCCCCTCCCTCGTCTCTTTCTTCCCCCTCCTTCGTCCCCCTTCCCTCCCCTCGCCCTCTATCTTGTCCCCGTCTCCCTCTCTTCCTCCCTCCCTCCCCTCCCTCCTTGCCTCTCTTTCGCCCCCCTCCCTCCCTCCCTTCCTTCCCTCTCCCTCCTTTTGTCCCCCCTCCCTCCCCTCCCCTCCCTCTCCTGGATTTCTTTTTTAGGTGCCTTTGGGGCGCCTTCTGGGGGCCTTCATGAGAGATCTTGGGATACATTGGCGGCATCTGGGGGGCCCGCTGGCGGTCTCGGGGGTCATCTTGGAGCGGGGGGGTCAACATTTCAGTTCGAATCCCCCCCCTTTAGGAGGCCGTCTTGAGGACCTATGGGCCGTCTTGGAGCGACCTTTGGGGCTTCACTGGCCGTCCTAGACTCTCTTCCCATCGAGGAGGCGAGAAGGCGATCATGAAGCCAAGACCTTGCGCTCGTTTTCTGATCAGCAGAGATTTGCGCTGGACCCCGCTGGCGGTCGGGCCCGCCTTGGTCGTGTAATATGTCAGAGAATGCGCCATGCTGATGCATCTATGAGCACGGAGTCCAGCGTGTGCAACAAGTGCTCCATCGGGCCACCGGGCCAACCAATGCCGCTCGCGCCGGCAGCAGGAGCGGCATTGGTTGGCGCGCCCGACGCAGGGCTGCTTGGCGCCCGCACTCCAAGAGGGGGGCAGGCCCTGGAATATACGCCCCAAGGGGGCTGCTGGGACGCACCCCTATTGAGGATGGGCGCCACCCTCCATCGTATATCCCAGGGTTGGGCCCCGAGTCTTCCATCCATTCGAAAACCCCCACGAAGCCTGGGACAGGGGTCGATACATCCCCTGTCATGGCGCGCGCAGGGACGGGGGTCCCGCGCAAGTCTCGAGGCCGGACCTGGGCTGCCGCGGCCCACTCCAAAGGAACAAACACACACAGAGGCACTCATGAGCGTCGACTTTCCCAGGGGAAGGTGCGAGAAAGTATGGGAAGTGCAGGGGGGAGAAGAATGTTGTTATTACCATCTAGGCCATAACACGCGTTATGCTCCCTCCCCTCCCCTCTCCCCCCCCGCTCATGACGTAACGTTCCCCCGCTCAGTGCGTCTGCGGCACTGCCGCAGTGCGTCCAGCAGCGCAGTCTAGCGGGGGGGGGGGGGCGCTACGTTATGCTCCCCCTCGTCTCCCCCCCCCTTCCCCCCCAGAACGCCCCCTAGGGCCGCGAATAAAACAAGTGCGCTCGAGGCGACGATGCAGCAGATAGTATGGAAATAGATGGCGAATCCTCAGATATGTGCCTGTTCGTTCGTGTGTGCCTGGGCGACTTCAGGCGTGCCGGAGGAAAGAGAGAGAAAAAAAAGGCCACGGTCTCCTTCTGCGAGGTTCGAGCATGGAGGAATCGTTGCACGATTTCGCGCGTCGTTGGAGGGAGGCGTCCGGGGACATGAACGTGAAAACTCTGAGGTTCGCGCGGATTTCTCGGATCGGCGTTGGACCCCATTCCTTGACGCGCGGAGCGCGCCAGGGGCGGCGACGGAGGCGTTGCCTGGGGGCTCCAGCGCCGATCCGAGGAATCCGCGCGGACCTCCGAGTTGTGTTGTTTATGTCATTATTCGTTCCCCTATTTCTGCCAAGGGTGATGATACCACACGCTCTGGTGGACCTGGCTACAACGTCTGGAGAGTTTCACGACGCTGCCAAGAGTTCCAAGAAGTGTTCGGAAAGGAAGGAGGACAACCAGGAGGAAGATGAGGAGGAGGAGAAAGAGGGGCTTGGCGCATTACTGCGCCAGTCCGAACTGAAACCGCTCCACACAGCTCCCAGGTGGTGCCCTTGCGCCCCAAGATGGCTCAATCTGGCCCCACGATAGCCCCAGCCAGGTGTCTGCAACATGGCTCGTAGATTGCCTACGGAATCTTCGGACGGCACCGACAGGCGTAAGGATCGTCAACGTTGTTTCTGGGAGAGAAGGGACAGGACAAAGTGAACGATGATGAGGCTGCGGTGCAGGGGAAGGAGCAAGAGGAGGAGTTGGAGGAGGAGAGCAAGAGAAGGAGTTGGAGGAGGAGGAGGAGGAGGAGACTCAGTGGGGAATGGGGAGGGCAGAGGGTGGAGATGCAGGTGGAGGCGAAGCAGGACGCAGGACGGAGGAGAAGGACGAGGAGCAGGACTGTGCAGGGGGCAGGATGGAGGGCTGAGGAGGAGGAGGAGGAGGGAGGAGGACGAGGGAGGAGGAAAGGCGGGCGGAAGAAGGTAGGGGAGAAGGAGCCGCAGGAGGAGGAGGAGGAGGAGGAGGAGGCGGAGGAGGAGGAGGAGAGAGGAGGAGAGAGGAGGGGGACGGGAGCGAAGAGCGAGGGCGAGGGCCAGAGCGAATTCCAGAGTGCAGCAGCGACGATCCAAGGCGCCCGCCCGTCCCACGTCCCTCCGCACAGATCCCTACGGGCTCTCTCGCTCTCTCTCTCTCTCTCTCTCTCCTTATCTCTCTCTCTCTCTCTTTCCATCACTCTTCCTCCTCCTCCTCCTCCTCCTCCTCCTCTTTCTCTCTCTCTCTCTCGCGCTCTCGCTTACTCCACGAGGCCCCCGCTTAAAGACCAACGCCCAACATGTCCCTGCCAGTTTGGACGAGCGCTCTGTTTGAACAGGAGTTGTCGTTCATCTGCCCCGTCTGACACTAATATGGCACGCGGGAAAAGTATTCTTAAGTCGGGCCTGTCCCTCTACAGGAGGAACATTCCAAAATAGTCAAACATCGTCCTGGGACGATGTTTTGAATATGTTGCAGAATTGTTGGAGTTTTTAAGGTATGTTTTATTTGTCGTCCAAACTCCGCCCGTGGGGGGACATGTCCGACCTAAAAGTATTGAGATATTTCGCACAAGTAAACGACCTGTCCAGAGAGATCCCCAGTTTGAAAAAGTACCGCCCCGAGACGTGCAACAATTGCGCACACTTGCAGGTTTGTTTGATGAGTTACGCAATTCCTAAAGCCCCATTTTGAAAGAGAACCGCTTTCTGTCCACGCAATTGCTACAACTGTTTAAATTTCGTGTCGGGGCTTCCCAGAAGGCCCCAATCGAGAGAACAGGAGAAGTAGAGAGAGAGAGAGATCCACGTTTGAAAACATAACTGCCTGCACCCATAGAACTTCTGGAAACTATTAAGACGAATGCGCGCGGCGCTCAGGCGAAAGAAACGGACCGCCCTCCATCCTGTTAGCTGCCGCATCAAGACGAGCGTGCGCGGCGCGGCACCGAGGCGCGAGCTGCACGCTGAGGACGGCCCCCTTCCACGGGACTGCTCCTGGCAGGGCGGGGCCAGGACCCCAGGCGGGCATGGCCCAGGGTTCCTTGTGCCCCATCGTCTCCTTCTGTCGCGACGCTCCTCCTCCTCCTCCTCCTCCTCCTCCTCCTCCTCCTCCTCCTCCTCCTCCTCCTCCTCCTCCTCGGGCCCACGACGCAGGTCCCTCGGGGCCAGCGGCGCGGACACCGCGGGAAGCACCGCGGGTCCCCAGGGCCGAGGCGGAGGCCCTGGAGGCAGCGGTGCCGTCCGGCGCTGCGGTGCTTCGCCGTCGCAGCTGCGCGCGGCGACTGGCGCACGCCCGGTGCGCGCCGCGCGCGGGGCCATCCCTTCGCGCGCACGTCTGGTGGTCGTCGCGACAGAAGGAGGAGGAGGAGGAGGAGGAGGAGGAGGAGGAGGAGGAGGAGGAGGAGGGGGACCTGCACGTCGTTGGGCTCGGAGCCCTGTACAGTGCCCATGCCCGATCGAGCTCACGGGCGCCCTTCCCGACGCGGCCGCCGTCGGTCCGTCTCGGGAGCTCCTGTGCCCACGGAGGCGGGTCCCGCGGTGACGGTTTCGGGAGTGGTGTTGTGCCCACGGTTGGCTCGGATGCGAGGCTGCTCCGCCTTGCCTGCCCTTTGTGTCATGTGGGGCGCACGTCTGGGCGCCGAGTTTGTGTTCCTGGGCACGGCGTTGTCTTGTGGGGCACGCGGCCAGCCAATTCAGGCACTCCTTCCGAGTCTGGGCACAGTACAGGTTCCGCGTTGGGCACACAAGGGGTTCTCTGCGGGCGCGTCTCCAGGCATCTGAGCGCTGGATTGGAAGAGTACCGTGCCGATGCAACGCTATGGCGCGTCGTGTTGGCAGCGTGTTGCAGCGGCTTCGCGTCACAAAGGTGGAGCGCAGCGGGCTTGGGAAGCGGGCCTTTGAGAGGGTATCCTGCAGGGTTTCGCCTGCCAGGGTAGACATTAGAACCACGAATTGACGGCAATCATTGGTTTTCGGAAGGCCCTTATTAACCAAATGCTGGACACCTCCAGCTGGCACGTTAGGAGGGGGATGATGATGATGATGAGGAGGAGGAGGAGGAGGAGGGTGAAGAAGAAAAGGAGGAAGAGGAAACGGAGGAGGAGGAGGAGGAGGAGGAAATGGAGGAGGAGGAGGAGGAGGAGGGGAGGAGGGGGAGGAGGAGGAGGAGGAGGGAGGAGGAGGGAGGAGGAGGAGGAGGAGGGAGGAGGAGGGACGGGGAGGAGGAGGAGGAGCGAGGACGACACCGACGGGCAGCGGATGGGGCCGCCCCGGCCGCGTCCGGGCGAGGAAGCGCCGGCGAAGAAAAAGAAGAAGCGGAGGAAGGAGGCGGCCGCGGAGCCAAAGGCCGAGAGGAGTGCCGTCGCCGCCGCCTGCGGGCGTGCCCTGCCGCCTCCGCCGCGCCGCCCGCCGCCGCTGCCTGCTGCCGCGGGCCCGAAGGCCGAGAGGAGCTCCTCCGCCAGTGCTGCCGCCGAGTGCCCCTCCTCCTCCTCCTCTCCTCCTCCTCCTCCTCCTCCTCCTCCTCCTCCTCCGCCTTCTCCTCCTCTCCTCCTCCTCCTCCCCCCCCTCCTCCCCCTCCTCCTCCTCCTCCATCCTCCTCTCCTCCTCCTCCTCCTTCTCCTCCTCCTCCTCCTCCTCCCCCTCCTCCTCCTCCATGTCCTCCTCCTCCTCCTCCTCCTTCTCCTCCTGCCCTCTACGAAGCCCTTTCCCACCACTACCCGTCCTCCATATATTCTGGGCGTTCTCGCCCAGCTGTGGGGCTCGGCAGGCTTCGGCGGCGCGCACAAGAGTGGCCCTTCGCCAGAGTGGCCCGTGGTCCGGGGCCCCGAGGCGTGGAGGCATGCGCGCGCGGGTTTGCCCCCCCGCGGCCCTCCAAGACCGCGCACCTGAGGTCACTCCTTGCCTGGGGCCACCCTGCATGTATTCGAAGGCCTCTCGTGCCTCGACGAGGGCCTCGACGAGGGCCTCGGGTCTCCGGCGTTGATGTCCGGCGCAGTGCTGTGCCCCTTTGCCGCGGCCTCGCATCTCCGGGGCCGCCGCCCGCCGTGGCGCCCGGCCACCGGCGCCGCCAGCCAGGCCCGCGGGCGGACGGGGCTCTTCGGGGTTCGGGTTCTCTGCCCGTCGCCGCCCCCTCGCCCTCCTCTGCCCGTTGCCCCTCGCAAGGGGGTCGGGAGCGGAAGCTGGCCCGGGGGGGGGTCCAGAGTTCATGGGGCCCGCGGACAGACATCGGTCCGTCGGTTCCCCCCCCTCCGTCCAAGAGGGGGAAGCGAGGCGGGGGCGATCTCGCGATCTCGCAGAGGAGCCCGCCACAGAGTAGCCCCCAATCGTGCATTTTTCTGGGGGGGGGCAGGGGGGAGGGGGGCTGGTCCACCTTCTTTGCTTAGCACCTTGATGTGCTCATGCGTCGCTGCCAAATAATGAGCCTGGTGCGACCCCAATTTAAGAGTTCCTCTCATCCGAAACAAGTCTCAAAGCTGTTTTGCGAAATTCAAAGTGACCCTTGTGTGGCCTTATTTGGCACTGTTCTGCATTGCTTGGCATTGCTTGGAATCGTTGTTCGGCATTGCTTGGCAGTGGCTTTGTATTGCCTGCCTGGCATTGCCCGGCATTGCCTGGCATTGCCTGGCGTTGCCCGGCGTTGCTTCGCATTGCTTGGCATTGCGCGTCTTTGGCTTTGCATTGCTTGGCGCTGCGTGGCACTTCCTGGTCTGGAAACGCCAAGCTGCGCCAGGTCGGAAAACCCCGAGCAGCACCTTGGAGCCGCCTCTGTCGAGTGGCCCGCTCTGACGACAGTTCTGTCACAAGAACAAGACAGAGCCCTTTAGGCGAAGTCTTAGCGCCGGAAGCAGGTCGCTTGCACGGACACTCGCGCGCACGCTTCTCGCATGCACGGTCGCGCGCGAGCGCCCACGCGGCGCGTGCCACACCGGCGGCTCGCCGTCAGCCTTGGTGCAAGGCCGCGACGTCTTCTCGCGCGAGGCCCGTCTCTTGCCG